GGTGTGTGTCACATGCGTGTCAGGTGTGTGAGATGTGTGTAAGGTGTGTGGGTGTGTGACATGTTTGTGAGTGCATGTCAGGTGTGTGTATGCGATGTGTGTGTCAGGTGTGTGAGTTGTGAGGTGTGATGTCAGGTGTGTGTTATGAGGTATGTGTAACCTCTGTGTGTGAAGTGTGAAATGTTTGTGTGGTGTGTATATATGTGTGAGGTATGTGGATGAGCTGTGCATGAGGGCTGTGTGTTAGGTGTGTGAGGTATGCGATGCTTGTGTGATGTGTGTCACAGGTGTGTGAGAAGTGTGTTGAGTGTGTGTGTCAGGTGTCTGCTGGGCTAACAGGTGTGTCTGAGTCATGTGTGTGTCAGTTGTGTGAGGACTGTATGCCCCCTGTGTGGGAGGATGCATTGGGGTACATGTGTGAGGAGTGTGAGGGGTGTGTGTGCATCTGGGAAATGTGTGTGAGGGGAGTGTGTGGAGGTGTCTGAGGGTGTATGTCAGAGGCTTGTATGGGGGGTGTCTGTGTCTTTGGTGTGTGTGTCAAGTGTGTGTGGCACCGGGGTGTGAGCTGGGGTGTATGTGTGAAGGGTGTGTGTAGGGGTGTGCAGGTCAGGGATATGTGTGTCAGGTGTGCATGTGTGAGGTGTGTGTGTCTGATGTGTGAGGGGTATGTGTGTCGTGTGTGGGTGTGTGTCTGCAATGTGTAAGGGATGTGTGTGTCGGGTGTGTGTCAGGCATGTGTGGCTGGGGTGTGTGTATGAGGTGTGTGAGGGTGTGTGTGCTTGTGAGGTGCATGTGTCAGACATGTTTGGGTGTGTCTGCTGTGTGTGAAGTGTATGGTGTGTGTGTGCCTGAGGTGTGTGAAGTGTGTGTGTGTGGGATGTGTGAGGGGTGTGTGTCAGGTGTGTAGGTCTGGGTGTCTGGTGGATTTGTGAGGTGTATGTCTGGGGTGTGTCTGATGCATGTGTGATATGTGTTTGGGGTGTGTGTAGGGGTGTGTGTTGGTGTGTGTGAGGTGTGTGTCAGGCGTGTGTGTCTGGGGTGTGTGTGAGGTGTGTTTAGGGTGTGCATGTCAGCTGTGTCTGGGATGTGTGTCTGGTAAGAGGTGTGTGGTTCATTTGTGAGGTGTGGGTGTCTGGAGTGTGTGTGGTGTGCATCTGGGGTGAGTCTAGGGTGTATGTGAGGTGTGTCAGGTGTGTCTGGGGTTGTCATGTGTGTGTCAGGTGTGTGTCTGGTGTGAATTGTGTGCAGCCTGTGTCTGGTGTGTGTGCCTGGGGTGAGGCGTGTGTGTGTGGGGGGGCGTTGTGTGTGTCTGTGTCAAGTGTTTCAGATGTGTGTCTAGGGTTTTTGGTGTGTGAAATGTGAGGTGTGTCTGGGATGTGTCAGGTGTGGGTATATGTCAGGTCTGTGAGGGTGTGTCTGGAGTGTGTGTGTCTGGTACGTGTGTGTTTCTGGTGTGTGTCTAGGATCCATGTGAGGTGTGTCAGGTGTGTGGTGTCTGGGTGTGTGTCTGATGTGAGGTATGTGGTATGTGTATGCAGTGTTTGGGGTGTTGGGTGTGTGTGGTTGTTTGGGGTGTTTGGGGTGTGTGTCAGATGTGTGTGTGATGTGCGTGTCAGGTGTGTGTGGGTTTGGGTGTGTGGGATGTGGGTCAGATGTGTGTGTCAGGTGTGTTTGTGTGGTATGTGTGTAAGGTGTATGTGCATCTGAGGTGTGTGTGAGGAGGGGTATGTGTGAAGTGTGTGTGGTATGTGTCAGGTATCTGTGAGGTGTCTGTGTTTGGGTGTGTGGTGTGAGGTATGTGTTTGGGCGTGTGTGGTGTGAGGTGTGTTTCTGGAGCACGTGTGTGGTGTGTGTCAGGTATGTGGGGATGTGTGGGTGTGTCTGGGGTATGTGTAAGGTGTGTGCCTGGGGTGTGTTTCAAGTGTATATGTGACGTATGTATGGTGTGTGTGAGGTACGTGTGTCTTGTGTAACTAAGGGGGTATGTAGGGTGTGTGTGAGGTGAGTGTGTTTGGGTGTGGTGTGGGTGAGTTGTATGTGATTCTGGAGTGTCTGGTGTCAGGTGTGTGAGTGTGTGATGTGTATGTGTTTGGGTGTGTCTGATGTGTGTGAAGTGTATGGTATCAAGGATATATGTGAGATGTGTGTCAGGTGTGTGTGTGTATGTCGAGTGTAAGGTGTGTCTGGGGTGTGTTTCAGGTGTGTGTGTGGTGTGTGATGTATGTCTGGTGTGTGTGTCTGGTGTGTCTGAAGGGTGTGTGACGTGTGTGTGCGGCATGTATGTGGGTGTGTGGGAGATGTATGTGTTTCTGGGGTGTCTGGTGTGTGTCTGGGGTGTGTGTGAGATGTGTGTGGGTGATGTATGTCTGGTGTGTTTGAGAGGTGTGTGGGGTGTGTGTGTGAGGTGTATGTGTTTCTGGGGTGTCTGGTGTCAGCTCTGTGGGTATGTGTGGGTGTATCTGGGGTCCATCTGGTGTGTGTTAAGTGTATGTGTCAAGGGTGTGTGTCTGGAGTGTGTCTAGAGTGTGTATGAGGTGTGTGTGTAGGGGTGTGTCTGGGGTGTGTCACATGTGTGGGTGTGAGGTGTATGTTCTAGTGTATGTGAGGTGTTTGTGGGGGAGTTGGGTGCGTCACATGTGTGTGAGGTTTGTGTGTCTGGTGTGTCAGGTGTCAGGTATGTGTGTGTTTATGTGTGTGGGTGTGTGTGCAAAGTGTGTGAGGTGTATGTGTGTCTGGGGTATGTTTCAGGGTGTGTCTGGGGTGTCAGGTATATGTGGATGTGTGAGGTATGTGTGAGGAGTGTGTGTGGGTGTGTGAGGTTTCTGTGTGTATATGTCTGGGGTGTGGATCAGGTATGTGTGTCAGGTGTGTGGGGTGTGGGTCAGGTGTGTGTGTGTCAGGTGTGTGTGTGTGTGATGTGTGTGGGGGGTGTGTTTGGTCTGTGAGGTATGTGTGTCTGAGGTGTATCTGCTTCAGCTGTGTGTTCCTGGGGTGTGTGTGTGTCAGGTGTGTTTCTGGGGTGTAGGTCAGGTGTGTGGGGTGTCAGGTGTGTATGTGTCATGTGTGTGTGTCGGGTGTGTGTGAGGTGTGTGTTTGGATGTGATCGGTGTTTGAGGTGTGTGTTTCTGGGGTGCGTTTCAGGTGTGTGTCTGTGGGGTGTGTCTGGGGTGTTTCTGAGGGAGTCAGGTGTGTGTTGGGTGTGCATGTGAGATACATGTTTGGGTGTGTCTGGTGTTCGAGGTGTGTTTCTGAGGTGTGTGTTGGGGTGTGTCTGGGGTGTGTCAGGTGTGTGGGGTGTGTCAGGTGTGCATGTGTCAGGCGTGTGTGAGGTGTGTGTTTGGGTGTGTCTGGTGTTTGAGGTGTGTGTTTCTGAGGTATGTGTGTCCGGTGTGTTTCTGGGGTGTGTCTGGTGTGTGGGGTGTGTGTGAGGTGTATGTCTGGGGTGTGTGGATGTGTCAGTTGTGTGGATTGTGTGTTTCTGGGGTGTGTGTGTTTTGGGGACGTGTGTGTCAGGTGTATTTCTGGATGGTGTGTGTCAGGTGTGTGTGCGGGGTGTGTATGTGAGGTGTGTGGATGTGTTTGGTGTTTAAGGTGTGTGTTTCGCTTCTCAGCCTTTTGGCAAAGATCAAGTGAGGTGTGTGTTTCTGGAAGGTGTGTGTCAGCTGTGTTTCTGGGGTATGTGTCAGTTATATGTGTCTGGAGTGTGTGTCAGATGTATGTCTAGTGTGTGTGTTTGGGGTGTAAGGTGTGTGTTTGGGTGTGTCTGGTGTTTGAGGTGTGTGTTTCTGGGGGCTGTGTCAGGTGTGTGTTTCTGGGGGCTGGGTCAGGTGTGTTTCTGAAGGTTGTGTCAGGTGTGTGTCGGGTGTGTGTGAGGTGTGTGGATGTGTCTGGTGTTTGAGGTGTGTGTTTCTGGGGTGTCAGGTGTGTTTCTGGGGGGGTGTCAAGTGTGTTTCTGGGGGGTGTCAGGTGTGTTTTTGGGGTGTGTCAGATGTGTGGAGTATGTGTCAGGTGTGTTTCTGGGTTGTGTGTGTGACGTGTGAGTGTGTCTGGTGTTTGGTGTTTGAAGTGTGTGTTTCTGGGGTGTGTGTCAGGTGCATGTTTCTGGGGTGTGTCAGGTGTGTGGGGTATGTGTCAGGTATGTGTGTTGGGTGTGAGGTGTGTGGGTGTGTCTGGTGTGTGAGGTGTGTGTTTCTAGGGTATGTGTCAGGTATATGTTTCTGGGAGGTGTGTCAGGTGTATGTGTCTGGGGTGTGTGTGGGTGTGTATCAGGTGTGTGTTGGGGTGTGTCTGGGGTGTGTCAGGTGTGTGGGGTGTGTCAGGTGTGCATGTGTCAGGCGTGTGTGAGGTGTGTGTTTGGGTGTGTCTGGTGTTTGAGGTGTGTGTTTCTGAGGTATGTGTGTCCGGTGTGTTTCTGGGGTGTGTCCGGTGTGTGGAGTGTGGGTCAGGTGTGTGGGGTGTGTGTGAGGTGTATGTCTGGGGTGTGTGGATGTGTCAGTTGTGTGGATTGTGTGTTTCTGGGGTGTGTGTCAGGTGTGTGTGTCTGGGGTGTGTGAGGCGTGTGGGTGTCTGGTGTGTCAGGTGTATGTGTCTGGGGCGTGTGTGGGTGTGTATCAGGTGTGTGTGGGGTGTGAGGTGTGTGTGTTTCTGGGGTGTGAGGTGTGTGAGTCTGGGGTGCGTGAGTGTGTCGGGTGTGTGTGAGGTGTGTCGGGTGTGTGTGAGGTGTGTGTGTCTGGGGTATGAGGTGTGTGTGTTCCTGGGGTGTGAGGTGTGGGTGTGTGGGGGGTGTGGGGGGGTGTGGGTGTGTGTGAGGTGGGTGGGTGTGTCTGGTGTTTGAGGTGTGTGTTTCTGGGGGGTGTGTGAGGTGTGTGTAAGTTGTGTGTTTCTGGGGGTTGTCAGGTGTGTGTGTCTGGGGTGTGTCAGGTGCGCGTGTGGGGGGGCCCCGGGCAGGGTCAGAGGCGCGCATGCGCGGCTCCCAGCAGGGGCGGTGGGGGTGCCGGTGCGGGGCCAGAGCCGAGGCACCGCCTCCAGCGCGTTTCCATGGCGACCGCAGCCTCGGTCTCGCCGGCAGCCCCTGCCCCGCCCGGCTGCGAAGCGTCTGGAACCGCATCCTCCGCATCCACATCCGCAGCGTCGTCCTCCCCGACCCGTCCTGCAGCAGCTGCCGGCGGAGCCGCCTGTGAGCCGTTTCCACATTTCTCCTTGCGAGTGGGGCGGGGGCCCGGGGGTGTGCGGTGCGAGCGCGCGTGTTCTCGTGGCTCTCGTGTGGGCGGAGGTTTCAGTGCGCTTGTGCGTGGCGCATGTGCGGATGAGGGTGTGAGTGCGTGTGCAGGGTGCAAGTGTGCGTGTGCCGCTGTGTGTGGGGGTGTGTGTGTGTCTGGAGTGCGTGTGTGCGGGGTGTGTGCGCGTCTGGAGTGTGTGTGGGGGTGTGTGCGTCTGGAGTGTGTGTGGGGGTGTGCGTGTCTGGAGTGCGCGTCTGGAGTGTGTGTGTGCGGGGGGTGTGCGCGTCTGGAGTGTGTGTGCGGAGGGTGTGCGCTTCTGGAGTGTGTGTCTGGAGGGTGTGTGCGTGTCTGGAGGGTGTGTGCGTCTGGAGTCCATGTCTGGAGAGTGTGTGTGCCAAGCGCGCGTGCGGGGTGCGAGAGTGCAGGGCGCGCTGCGGCTGACCCGCGGGTCCCACCCGGCCGGCCTCCTCCCTAGGCCTCCTCTGCCCGCCCCAGGCCGGCCCCGCTGGCCCAAGGTCGGTGGTCTCCAGGCTTCCTGGGACGGCCCGGCCCGGCACGAGGGTCGCAGCCTGCAGTTCGGGGTGTCCCCGAGGTGGGCAGGGCGTGCCAGTCCCAGCTCCTGTCCAGCTCTGTCTGCGGGGGCGCGGTGGGGCGGACTGCAGAAGGGACGTCGGACCAGAGCACCGAGGAGCCGCTGCCCGCGCGCGGGTGGGGGGCGGGGGGTGGTCTCGATGGGGGCGTCTGCCATCGAGACAGGCAGGAGCCGGCCTGGAGGCCGGGAGGGCGCGGCTCCGGAACCACCTGCGGCTGCGGCAGGCTCGGGAGCCGGGCCACAGGTGGCGGCTCTGGGAAGAGGGAGCAGCTGCGCGCCCACTCCTCTGCGCACGGCTCGCTGGCTCCGCACTGCAGCTGCCTTGGAATCAGCCAGGCGGCCACGGCCGCCTGCAGCGCCAGGGGCGGGAGGTTGCGGGGGAGCCCGCGGGGGCGGGGCGGGACCCTCGGGGATCCGCAGTCACACGCGCTCGTGCCCGGCCCGCACCAGCTCACGCCCGCGCACTGCGCGCACCCCCCGCGTGACGCAGCATTCCAGGGTTGGAGGGCGCGTGCGAAAGCGAGTCGGTGACGTGACCTCCAGCCAAGCTTCCGTGGACTTTCGATTGAGAGCCTGCACCCCCCGCCCCGCCATCCATCCTGCATCCGCACGGCCTCGCTCACCCGCGCCCCCACCCATCTGCCATCAGCACCCCGCTCCCCCCCCCCAGACAGGAGCCCGGCGCTGCCTCCCCGCCGGAGCGCGGCGGGTGGGGGGCAGGGGACCCGCAGAAAACTCAGTGACAGCGCAGGTGCAGGGAGGGGCCGGGAGAGGAGCACAGGGGCCCCTAGGTCCACTAGACGCGTGTCTGCCATAGGGAGAGGCTCTCATGACGCAGCAGCACAAACGGACGGTCTGGTGTGTGGGGGGTGGACCCCGCACAAAGGCCAGCACCCCCCCCCCACATTCCGCCCGGGGCGCTGGGCCTGGAACCAGAGCGAGGCTCCAGCGAGCCCCCAATAGCCTTTTCTTCCTGAAGATGCGTCTTGGCCCTGTCTCCGTCGCCAAGGAAACCCGCGATGGCGTAAATTGGCCATCAGAGGAGTTGCAGTTGAAGTTTGGCTGGAAGGCAACGTCAGAAGCGCACCTCCTCGCACCTCCTCCTGGCGGGGTCCTGCCCACCCTATGGCGCTCCGGGGTCTGGGGCGGGACTGCGCCTCCTCCTCCGCCTCCCCATCTCCCGTCTGTGGAGAGGCTGGGCTTGCTCTGGGCGTCTGCTCCGGGAAGACCCTCGACCCCTCCTCCTCGGTGGCGCTCCCACCTCCGCGGGCCAAGCTCCCCCTCAAGCCCTGGCGGGGCTGCCCACGCCCCACAACCATGTCCTTCCCCGCCTCTTGGGGCTCTGCTTCCCTGGAGCGCTGTTGTTTGTACTCAAGCTCAGTACCCGCCTGCACACACAGGGCGCTTCTGCACCACAGGTGCACGCAGAAACTTCCCCAGCTGAGTGGCCATCCCCTCTGCCCCGGTCACGTGGGGACCCACCTCAGGAAGAGCCTCCAGCCCGGGGTGGGAGACTGGGGGCCACTGTATGGCTTCTTCTGGAAACGCTGGGCCAGGCATAGGGTCGCCTGCAATAAACACATGACAAAGAGGGGCATGGGTTAGGGCTCCAGAGGGCCTGGCCAAGTCCAGGTCTGGGAATGCTGTCTCCCCTAGCCCAGCTCCTTCCCGCTCAGAGCAGCCTCCCCGATCCCCTACCCAGACCTGGCTGTCCAGTCTCACTCCCACCACGCAGATCCCTTCCCTCAGGTCCTTCCCCAGGCAGAAGCTGCCACCCTAGGATCTTTCCACCTCAGCTCCTTCCCCTCAAGTGATTCCCCCTCAGGTCCTTCCCCTGTCAGATCCTTCCTCCCTCGGGTCCTTCCCGCCTCGGGTAATTCTCCTTCAGGTCCTTCCCCCCTCAGGTCCTCCCCCCGTCAGGTCCTTTCCCCTTCAGGTAATTCTCCTTCAGGTCCTTCCCCCCTCAGGTCCTTCCCCTCTCAGCTCCTTCCCCTCTCAGCTCCTTCCCCCCTCAGCTCCTTCCCCC